AACTGCAATATGATCCTTTTGCTTGTTTGTGCAAAGAAATATGTCCACAAATTTTGGAACGTCTTTGAATACTTTGATTTCTGTAATTTTCTTCCAATCTCTAGAAATCTTTCGAATTATAATTCTCTGACTAGAGGGATAATGCTGCAAGATAAAAATTCGACCACTTTCATCAACATCAATGGCTCTAATTTTTGAATCAGAATTTGCTAACAATATCTCACTCTCATTTTCGGTAAATGTTGAACCATTTCTGTTAAATGAAACTAGGTAGGTTGAATTTCTGATTTGTTTTGTTGAAAATAGTTTTCCATCAAAGGCTGTTGCTTTCTGAAGTTTCACCCTTTCGTTTGTCGATAATTCATTCGAATGAAGATTTTCATCATAAGCTGTAATTGTATCATCTCCTTTTCCATCAAATAAATGTAAAACTTCATCATTGCTAAACAATACTAATGATGATGCTTTTCTACAATTTGTGTTTGATTTTGAAATTGGAATTAGACTTTTTCTATTGAAAAGTTCTATACAGCATTCACCAGATGTGATGCCTGCTGTGATGAAGATGTGTGTCTGTGTGGATTGAAGTCCTGTGATTTGGTTGTCAAGAATTATTTCATCAGACAAAGTCCACTTGTGGAGCTTTTGCGTTTTCTTTGCAGTTTTGGCTTGGTTGAGCAATAAAATAATCCCACAACAAATTAGAATAATCGCAGCTATTAGTGCAATATTGTCTTCCATTTTTTACTTTATGAAACTTCAAATCACGTTTCGTGTAATTTCTGGTTGACTGTCACGTTTTTGTATTGACAGCAGCATTCTAATTGACTTGGCACGTTTAAGTTTTCACAATAATCCAAAATAAAAAACAATCAACCATGGGTCTCAAGAAAGGTGCAAACAAGACTAAAACCTCCAAAACCAATATTAGAGCAAAGGTGGTTGAATCCATTCAACGAACTCCAAAAATTACCATTGAACAGAACCGAGCTGTTAATATTCCTCGGTATCATCAAATTATATTTTCTGATCTGATCAGTAAAGAGAACTCATTGGGTGAAGCACACTGTGAGAAACCAACCACTCCATTCCTTTCTGACTCAACCGACACTGAATGTCATAACTTTAGAGTTATGCTTGACATTATTGGTCAAGAAATCAAGTTGAGAAACGTTCAAAACCTGGAAGATGTACTGACCAGATTACGTGAACCATACAAAAAGCCAAAACAACATACGTACGAAAATCTTCCATGGGTTCTCAAAGTAGATGCTGTAACTTGGATTCAAATCTTTCTCAATTGTTGTGATGATTTTACAAGAACAACAGTAATAAGACATATTTTACAATGCTCATCCATGCCTGTTCCTTTCATTCAAAGAGCAAATTTTGAACAAGATGGTAAATTGTCAGCTTTCAATCTAGATTACATTTTAAACGACAACGAATTACCGGTTCTTGAACAAAAGATGCTTCTCTGCTTGGACATGGGTGATAATGGTACAATAATGAAGCAATTAGTAAGAGGTTACAAGCAAATTGAATCCACGTCCATGGAATTGAGAGATGGTAATGTTGGACTATATGTCAATAGTAATTGTAAATATCCAATTGTTGCTCATATCAACGATGAATTCAAAGCTGTTCCGTCAACCTTGAAGTCTATGCTTTCAATTGTTGATGCAGTGCTATTCATATTTGATCAGGATGGTTCACCTGAAGTTATGGAACTCATTATAGATGAAATGAAACAGAGTAATTTGCCATACTACATGATATCTAAAGTGTCAAAGAGAACATTGGATGATTCAGATGATGCAGTGTTCGAAGAGGAGGATTATCATCCAACTCAAGGTTCCAATGATATTATTACCTGGATTAATACCATCGTCAAAACTCCTAAAAAGAGTACCTTCCAATATCCTCCCGATGTAGAAATTATCAAGAGCTATCCTATCTTTGAAAATGATCCATTAAGAGAGTTTTATTCCATTCTATTCGAGACTTTAAAAAGTGAGAAAGATACTGAGGGTGCAGATTTCAAAAAGAAATATTTTCCAATTACAACACATGCAAATGCAATTCAAGAAATGCAAGATCAAGTGTTTGCAAACAAGCAACTTCCATACTCAACGAAGAAAGAAGAAGAAGATTTCATTGCCCTTGGAAAGGTTACCTCTGAAAAGTATTTGACTCAAAATCCTTCCAAATTCATGATTAAACTTTTGAAGGCATTGAAATTGGCTGTAGAGAATAATTTGTTTCAACAATTATGGAATGTTTTTACATTTCATATTCATATTTTTGCCTATCCAAAAGTTCAAAACATTAAGCAAGAAGTACTTGGTTTAATTGATCAAATTGAAGAGCTTGAAAATTCGAATCAGCAACCTAATGAACCTCAAGCTAAGGACTTGGAAAAGAAAAAGTCAGAGTTGGAACAAGAAAAGAAAAAATTAGAGAGAAAAATGCAATCAGAATCGATTGGTGTTGAACATTTCTGGAGAGAAATTTTCCATATTTGGGTACAAATGGATAAGAAAACTATTGAGAATGTCTCAAAGAACAATGTAATGTCAGCAATACAATGTGCTATGATGACAGGATTCCCCATTGAAATTATTGATGGCGACTCCAACTCAATTAATGAACATTTCTTAGAAGAATTCTTTACAAAGCTGCCAAGCGATATTGCAAAAAGTAGAGTTCTATTTGTTTCAATTCTTGGCCATCAAAGTTCTTACAAAAGTACTGTTATGAACTCACTATTTAATAGTCAGTTTTCAATGGGTCAAGGAAAATGTACAAGAGGTGTTCAAATTTCCTTACACAAGTGTTCGCACACATCAAAATATGATTATATTGTTGCTTGTGATGTTGAAGGTTTAGAATCTGTTGAAATGGAGATTAACAAGAACTCTTCTTTTAATTCATTCTTTTATAATCATAGATTGGCTTTAGTTTCTATTTACTTGTCGCATTTAGTTCTTATTTCAAGTAAGGGTGAAGTTGACGCAACATTAACAGGTACATTAGAAGTCTGTATTTATGCCATGGCCATGTTGAAGAAGACATTATCTCATCCTTCATTCTGTGTGGTTTCAAACAATTGTACTGACACTAAACAAGATGCATTACTTCACAATGACAAAATCAAACAGTTATTAGTGAGAGGAGTCTCTAAATTCAATGAGCACTTTAATGAAGACGTCCAATTATCAGATCTGGTTCCATCTCGTGAGTGCATGTATTTGACACCTGCTTTTGAACCAGAAACTAAAAACTTTACCAGAAGTTATAGTTACAGAGTACGAAAGTTGTTGGACTATATTTTGACAATTCCAACACATCAAGATTTCTCAAACTTTGGTTCTTGGGTAACCAATCTATTGAGTGCGTGGAAATCTTTGAGAGAACACGATTTCGCTCTCTGTTATAAAGACTTGACAGAGTTAGAAAACTTCCAACAACTGAAAAACATAGGCAAAGAGTATGAGTCTTCTGTGGCACTTGAATTGGAACAATTGGTATTGAAATATCGTACGGAAAACGTTGATTACTTGGAAGTTATTGCCAAAATTGAAGACCTTGCCTTTCAAGTATTTGAAAACTATAAGGAAAAAATCAAAGAAGACAAATTCATGTTATGGAAAGACAAATTTACAATCAATTTTGATAATTTCAAGAATGATTACATAACAAAAAAGAAAGCAGAGATGAAAGTTGTTCAGGCATTTAAAAATACTACCAATCAAGTTGGTGACGCTATTCAGCAAGTTAACAGAAAAATCAAAGAGGAATATCAGCTATTGAAACAAATGTCAGAAAAAGAGAGAGAAGAAAGAATCAATACTTATTGGATGGAAAGCAGAGCCAATATCCAAAAAGTTTCTGAAGATTTCAAAAAAAGAATTGAAGAAATGGAATATGAATACCGTGGACTTGTTAGAAGATATTGGATAGAAACCAATTTATCATGCCAAGCTCTATCAAAAGAAGATGTTGACGTTGATGAAAAAGCGTATATTCTTTTGGTAAAGGTTTCAAAAGAACAATTTAGAACACTTTTTGATCAAATTGGCTTAGAAATTAGTAAGAGAGGGAGATTTTCAATTTATGAGTTCGGTGATATGTCAACCCATTTGTCTAATCTTTACAATGGATGGTGTGGAAAGAATCATCTTGAACCTTGTATTGAAAGAAGAAAAAAGGTTTTTGGATATTGTATCAATCCACTTCTTCAGCAATACACAAAGAAGGAAACAGAGTTTGTCAATGAAAATGATCCTCTCATCAAATATGACAACACCAAACCAGTATTCATAGCTACAGCTAATACGTCATTCAAAGATATTGTTGATGATTTTGACAATGCCAAAAACATTGCTAAAAAATTATATGATCTAATCCAGTCAATCGCAATAGATTCCTGCTATCTAAAGATATACAATTATTTGGAGAACTCCTTATTGCTTAGTAATTTAGAATTTGATTCTGCTAAATTAGCAAAGGAAAATAATTTACTTGGTGCAAAACTTTACTTCACAAATATTGAACTATTTGCAAAGAATTATCTGGTTAAAGAACAAGAAAAAATTATTTCTCAAAATATTCAAGATCTATTGCAAGAGATGAATACTGTTATTGGAAATCATGTCCGGTTTTTAAATGAAATAATATCAAATAGTGAACCATCCAATGCTCAAGACTTGTATGAAAAGATAAAGCAACAGTCCTCATCCACAAAATATGCAAACCTTGGCTCTGAATTCACAGTAATACTTTTCAAGGATTGTAGTACTATTGGAGGAAAAATAAGCCAAGAGCTTACCAGTTTAAAAGAGAAATCTCCAATTACAACCATACCAGTATTTGAATTTGATGACCTCCTGAAAAGAAAAATTGGCTGTACTCATCAATGCCCTTGTTGTGGAGCAAAGTGTGCTCATGGTTATGGACATTCTGAAAATCATAGCACTATAGTTCACCATTTTTGCTCTTTTAGAAGCGTTCGCGAAAAGCATTCGCAGGAGGCTTGTTTGGAGCTTTGTACTGAACAAAAACCTGGAACGCTCTGGAATGACATTCCTTGGGGTGAGTATGTTACCAAGGGAGATATGGCCAACTGGGATGTAAAGTATGACCAGGCGTCTACCAGATCTGCAAGAATGTGGGTGAAAAAGATGTGGTCTGTTTTGGGAGAAGAGTTTTGTAAAGAATATAGAATGAAATTCAAAACAGATCCATCATGGGCTGACATAACATGGGAGAGTCTCAATATCAATTAAACTCAAACTTATCATCTAATACTTGTACCAATCTGCTCATTTCAGTTTAGTTCAGAATATCTTCCGTCTTACTATGTCCCAACCAAGTAGTTTTAACAAATAATTTATTTGATACAAGGTTTAATCAAGATCTACATCTTCGTCTTCTTGTTTGCTTGGTGGTGGGACTCTTCGC